TGATTTCATTTTTCTTATACCAAATGCATAATTTTCTATAAAAATTGCTTCATAGAATTCAATCAGATTCATCATAGGTCCATTAAGGACAACTATTATCAATTCTAAAAAGCGAAAGTACTTTTTTCTTTTTCTTATCCCACATTCATTTCGTTTATTCAATTAAATTTTTTGATGACATCTACGTACTAGTTAGCTTCTAACGAGATTTATAATACTTTAGAATTTAATTTTAAAAAGTTCATAAACATTAAAAAAAAATTAACATATTCCACTCTTTTCTGATTATTTAAGATTATTCTTCGCTTTTCTAAAGGACAACATATTGAAACATGAATGAATATTTTCTCAAATATCGACATACATTGTTCAATACACCGTAGCGATTATCTCAATCTTCCCATGCACATAAATATTTAATATAGTATCATTTATTCAATCAATAAACCATCTATGCAGCACTTCACGGATGAATATAAATCGGATTTTAACCATTGCTTCTTCAAAATTTGTAATGATACTATACAACTCCTATAGTTATTACGGATGGATGACACTTACAAGGCCACTTAAATTCCAATGTAGGGTGTGGGTGTGGGGTGTGGGGTGGGTGTCGGTGTGTGGGGTGCGGGTGTGGCGTGTGGGTGTGGGTGTGAGTCTGAATGTGTGAAGATGGGTGTGGATATAGGTGTGGATGTTCTCTTCGCCCATATCCACACCCACACCCTGCTAGACATATGAAGTTTCAACAGATGATCGATTCCAGACACTCCAGTGAAGTAAATGCAGAATAGACTTTCGATGTGTTTCGACTAAGTCTCGCAAGTTTTTACAGTATTTATACTACGACCAAACGGAATCGAGCGTAAAGACATCTAATATACTATTTAACAAAAGTAATGGTTGTAACGCTGGCTAATAAAGAGAGTTATTTTGGGATGTGAGTGTAGTTGGCAGGACAGCCTACACACACACCCATGCCCGAATATTCCCATTCAGCAGTATTATCTTTTGTCGCACCCAATACTCATAATGATACAAAAGTTAGATATAGGCAATTTTGTGTTGAAAAGAAATGTATCCATAAAATGAGTACAAAATTCCTGATCTTTTAATACCAGAACGAAAACCTTTGATCAACTGCATCTTAAGAACAGCCACCTATCATAAAACAATAATATAATCTTCTTCATATGTGATTACAAGGCAATTGATTGAAAAATGTCGAATCGAAACTCAGTATGTAAACAGTTGAGACTATTCTAGTTTCAAATGTATAGTGTATGGTCTTTTTTACATGATCAATTATATATGATTAAGGTCTATTTCATATAAATCTTATATGTGCTAACATCGATTCAACATCATGTCATTCACATCGAGAAACATAATTAACAGTTAATTATCCATCTTTAACTTGATGAGCTCATTCTCAATCAATCGCATGATATATAAATAGAAACTATTACATCCAGAGATACGGTTTTGTGTAATTATACTTTATTTGTGAAGTTTGAAACAAAAAAAATTTATATTTGTCAATCTGAAGTCGCTTATCACTCCGTACATTATTAAAAAAATAGCTGCATAAAAATGAATGTGCACATCGGGATTAGGAAATTTCCAAGGAAGAAAAAAAGGAAAAAGTCTAGTCATAATTAACGAAAACATGAGCAAAGTTGGACCATACCAAACAGAAGAAGAACATCAAAGAAAAAGCCCATAGAAAATTGGAATAAACCATAAGAAAAAGTTTCATGGAAGAAAGAGAATAGTGCACACACACACCCACATGCACCTGTCCTCATAAAAATCCAATCTACTGTTGTTGTCTGCTTTAGAAAAAAGCAAACGAAAGAATAGAAGAAGAAAGAGAAAAGAAACAAACAAATAATAGACGAGAAGGTAAAGCAGCCAAAATAACTTTATTTTTGTAGTCATATAAGCAGAAAAACATGGCAACTGAAAACATCAACAAAATAACTAAAGACTTCGTTGTCATCTGGTTAGATAAAACTATTGAAGACAACAAAGATAATCAAAACACAAAAGCATTTATACGACAACTGGTTAAAGGTCGTTTACTAACATTCGATGACCAAGATAAATGTATTGATCATGTAACCGATGAACTGACCACAAAACGCGTATTTCTTATTGTTTCGAATACATTAGGCGCAAATGTTGTACCACATATACATGAATTACCATATATACAATCGATATACATATATTGTGGTGACAGAAAAAGTGCTGAAATATGGGCTAAACCATATTCAAAAGTCTCTGGTATATTCACAAGAAGAGCAGCACTATTAGATAAAATTGGTAAGGATGTTGGTGTATGTGATAAAGATGAAGATTTACCAATGAGTATATTTCATCTTACGGAACGTGAAAATACATTGCAACAATTAACTAAAGAAAGTGCAACATTTATGTGGTATTGTTCAGTTCTAATTGTTCTTCGATTGATGGCAACATACGGTGATTCAAAAAGTGAAATGATTGCTGAATGTCAAGCAGCTTATCATGACAATGAAACCGAACAAAAGAAAATAAATGATTTTGAGCGAAACTATTGTGCAAAAGAAGTATTTTCGTGGTATACAAAAGATAGTTTTGTATATCGATTATTGAACAAAGCTTTACGAACACAAAATATTGAAGTTATATTTAAATTTCGATTTTTCATTAATGATCTTCATAATCAAATCGAACAGTTTTATTATCAATATTTAGATAAGCATTCTTCTATTATTGATCATCATTTAAAAGTTTATCGTGGTCAACGTTTAAAGATGACAGAAATTGATATACTTAAACGTAATGTAAATGAACTTATTTCAATGAGTAGTTTTTTAAGTACTACATTGAATGAAGAATTAGCTAAAGTTTTTGCTGGTACAAGTGGCCAATTGAATGAACCATCACCATTACAATCTGTTCTTTTCATAATTGATATATGCAATATGAATAAAGAAATGACACCATTTGCAATCCTTGAAAACTCGCCGTGTTCTCAAGGTAATGGAGAAGATGAAGTACTGTTTTCGATAGGTGCTATTTTTAAAATTCAATCAGTTAAACAACAAGGCAACATGTGGTATGTTCATTTACAACTAAGTAAAGAACAAAATGAAGATAGTCAAAATCTTTCCGATCATATGATAAAGCAAATTGGACCAAAACCAGATCCATTGTCATTCTGTTGGGTTCTTTTTCGAATGAGTGAATATGAAAAAGCCGAACATTATGCAAAATATATGCTTACACTATTTCTACCAAATGATAAAGGAATTGGAAATACTTACAGTTTACTAGGTCTTATCTATTATGATACTCATAAATTAGAGCAATCCATTGAATGTTATGAGAAAGCTCTTGATATTTATTCTCAATTGAATTGTCATGATAGTTCTCAAGCTATTGCTACTCATTGTAGTCTTGGTTTGGCTTATTTAGCATCAGGAGATACTCGAAATGCAGAAGAACAACAAACATTAGCTGAAAACAAATTATCTAAATCTTCTCAATTTAAAAATCCATTACTTACATCTCAAGTAGAGAGTCTTAAAGCGAAAATTCAAGCAGAATATGGTGATGATATAAGCGCTTTAAAAAGTCTTGAACTAGTTTTAAAAGATAAAGAGCAACGCCTACCATCAGCTCATCCTTCAATAGTATCAACGCTGAGTGCAATAGGTATTGTGCATGAAAATATGAACAATTATGTGAAAGCATTCGAATATTTTAAACGAGCATTGGAACTCGGCAAGAAAAGCTTACAAAACGACCACAAGGATTTAGCTGAGTACTATATGAATATTGCTCGTATTTATGACAAACAACAACAATTTAAACTTGCTTTGCAACAATTTGAATTAGCACTAAATATTATGTGGAATTACCGAGAAGAAGAAGGTGCAAAGATTGCTGAACTAAGTATGCATATCGACAATATGAGAAAAAAATTATATTAGCCACAAATGTATTGATAAAAATTTTTTCTTTTCATAATTTTTTTTCTCACACTTATTTTGATCAGTTTAGAATAAAATTCAATAGTTGAAATAAATAAACAAACATAGATTTGATACTTCCTAAGTATTTTAAATTACTAATATACTTCTGGATAGTGATTTCAGACTAATAATGCATTAAATAGAAAAGAAGTTTGACTTTTAGAATAAAATATCATTAAATGAAGAAATAACACAAAACAAACAATATGTCTTCTATTCGTTTAGTAATAAAATGTTTAGTTACAAAGCGTTCAACAATTTACCTATCAAGCTTTTGAGATATTCGTAATTTATGAGAACACCACAAACATCCACAGAGTTCCATACTCTACGTTTTGACATGAATATGTGTCATCCACGAATAGTGTTTCAGAAGGGATTGTTCGTTGGAAACACATCAGATTGATCTAAATGTGTTAATATATATCTACTAACATCCAACGAATCCTTATTAACAAATCTGTAGCATTCAACTTACCTTCACTAGCACCTACATAATCATGTTATCTACTGATTTTTATATGATTGAACTAGTTTATCTTGAAAACATCTCATTGTATGATAAAAACTCATAAAATAAGTAGAAACAATGAAAAACACGAGAAAAAAAAGTAAAAATATTTATTAGTGTTGAGTTAGATTATAAAAACAATTCAATAGATCCAAATTAGATGTTCTAGCAGCATGAGAAAACTATAATTCAATTTCAGATATACAATTCGAAATACCTTAAAATAGGTAATAAATTTCGTCGACTTGATATGAGGAAAATTCCATGCAATTCATTAATAATAGCAAATGATCATTAATCAATCCTAATGTCACTGTTTTGATTTATTACGTATCGGACACTATTACCAACAATATACAATAAGATAAAGTGAAAAACAATGATTCATTAATTGATGAAATAAGAACAGAATTTCGCTATGCACCAACAAACGATCATGTCCACAGCATCGAAAATTAGTCATACAGAATTTGATCCATTTTGACGACGAAAAGTGGAAACTATAAAATACGCTGCATCTTGTGTTACATATATTTTTTTTAATACAACGAATTAAATGATTGAAAACTGAAATGCAAAATGCGACCATTTAATCTGTTCCGCTTATTAGTAAGAAATTTTACATCAATCGATATAAATTGACCGAAAATTTGAGTATCGCTCAGTAAATTAATTTCTTACTTTGAAAGATCATAGTTTGTTTATTCAATATTTATGATAGAATGGAGATCATTTATGATAAGCAGTATTCTATCACTCAATACAATTTCTGAATGGAATCGGTGTTTTATAGATAAATAATTATCCATTAATGATCATCGGAGATGTGAATAACATAATTTAGGAAAAAAGTAGATTAATTTATCGATTTTGATTTCAAACGATAGACTAATGCCATTAAGAACAGTATTAATCAGTATTCTACTAGAGTTGAATGTTATTTTGGTTTTATTGAAAACATTTTCTAGCATAATTGAAATGCGATATAAATCAAATCAAGGAATGGAATTCTCTTTTACACATAAATCCAAAATTTTAGACGGGAATTTATTATTTTAGAATTTGTTAGTCATTTATATCTAATTAGCAATTTGAGTATGTTTTCATGTGAAGGAGAACATCTCAACTATGTGATTTTGTTAGAAAAATAAATCAGCTCTTATCAATACGAACATCATATAAAGTTTGACATTGTGTTTCTATTGATACGAATACAATAGTTTCTGTAAGCACAGATTTGAAGAAAATTACCAAGCAAAAGTATAGTTCGGTAGACGGAGGACTTTCTCTACATTTTTTTTCTTTGTATATTTCGAAGAATTAAGATCATTATTCCACTAAATACATTGAAGCAATCTACATCTTCTACAACGTCATGGAAATTTTCAAAGTCTAACTAAATAAAAAATTATTATTAAAGGTTTCGAATATTCCCATTTAATAGTATTACTTTTTGTCGAACCCAATACTCATAATGATACAAAAGTTGGATATAGGCGTTTTTGTGTTAAAAAGAAACGTATCCATTGAATGAGTACAAAATTTCTGATCTTTTAACATCAGAACGAAAAGCCTTGATCAGATCTATCTTAAGAACAGCCACCTATCACAAACCAATAATGTAATTTTCTTCATATGTGATTACAAGGCAACTGATTGAAAAATGTCGAATCGAAACTCAGTATGTAAATAGTTGAGACTATTCTAGTTTCAAATGTATAGGGTATGGTCTTTTTTACATGATCAATTATATATGATTAAGGTCTATTTCATATGAATTTTATGTGTGCTAACATCAATTCAACATCATGTCATTCACATCTGAAACATAGTTAGCAGTTAAGTCTCCATCTTTGACTTGATGAGCTTATTCTGAATCAATTGCATGATATATAAATAGAAAGTATTACATCCAGAGAAACGGTTTTGTGTGAGTGTACTTTATTTGTAAAGGTTGAAACAAAAAAATTTTATATGTGTCAAACTGAAGTCGCTTATCATTCCGTACATTATAAAAACAACAGCTGCATAAGAATGAATGTGCACATCGGGATTTGGAAATTTTCAAGGAAGAAAAGAGGAAAAAGTCTATCGATGATCAAAAAGAATAAACATAGACAAAGTTGGAAAATACCGAAAGGAAGAAGTTTATCAAAGAAAAAGTCAACAGAAATTTGGGAGAAAACCATGAAAGAGAATAGTGTCAGTACACCTGTATATGAATTTCTATTTACATAGAAGCCAATCCTTATAAAAATGCAAACTTTTGTTGTCGACTCGTCTAGAAGCCAACGAACGAAAGAACAGAAGGAAGAGAAGGCAAAGCAACCAAGGTAACTTAATTTTGCCAGTGACACACATATAAAAACATGACAAGTGAAAACAACAACGATTTAACCAACAACTTCGCTATCATCTGGTTAGATGGTACTATTGAAAAGACCAGCGGTAATCGAGAGACAAAAGCACTTTTACGACAGCTGGTTAAATGTCGTTTACTAACATTTGATGATCCAGATAAATGTATTGATCATATATCCGATGAACCAACAACAAAACGAGTATTTCTTATTGTTTCCAATGCATTTGGTCAAAAGGTTATACCACTTATACATGATTTACCACATTTACAAGGGACATACATATTCTGTGGTGACCAAAAAAGTGCTGAGATATGGGCTAAACCATATTCAAAAGTCTCTGGTATATTCACAAGAAGAGCAGAACTATTAGATAAAATTGGTAATGATGTTGGTATGCTTAATAAAGATGAAGATTTACCAATGAGTATATTTCATCTTACGGAACAAGAAAATTCATTACAGCAATTAAGCAAAGAAAGTGCAACATTTATGTGGTATCGGTTAATATTAATAGTTCTTCGATTAATAGCAAAGTTCGGTGATTCAAAAAATGAAATGATTGCTGAATGTCGAGCAGCTTATCATAACAATGAAGCCGAACAAAAGAAAATAAATGATTTTGAGCGAAACTATTGTGCAAAAGAAATATTTTCGTGGTATACAAAAGATAGTTTTGCATTTCGATTATTGAACAAGGCTTTACGAACACAAAATATTGAAGTTATATTTAAATTTCGATTTTTCATCAATGATCTTCATAATCAAATCGAACAACTTTATCATCGATATTTAGAAGATCATTCTTCTAGTATTGATCATCATGATATAAGAGTTTATCGTGGTCAACGTTTAAATATGACAGAAGTTGATATACTTAAACGTAATGTAAATGAACTTATTTCAATGAATAGTTTCTTAAGTACTACATTTAATAAAAAATTAGCTAAAGTTTTTGCTGGTACAAATGATCAATCGAATGAATCATCATCATTACAATCCGTTCTTTTCATAATTGATATATGCAATATGAATAAAGAGATGGCACCATTTGCAATCCTTGAAAACTCGCCGTGTTCTCAAGATAATGGAGAAGAAGAAGTACTTTTTTCGATATGTGCTATTTTTCAGATCCGATCAGTTAAACAAGAAGACGACATGTGGTATGTTCATTTACAATTAACTAAAGAACAAAACGAACTTAGTCAAAATCTTTCGAAATATATGATGAACCAAATTAGTTCGGAACCAGACCCATTATCATTCGGTTGGTTTCTTTTTCGAATGAGTGACTATGACAAAGCTGAACGTTATACGAAATTAATGCTTAAACAACTTCCATCGAATGATAAAGGAATTGGAGATGCTTACAACTTAATTGGTCTCATCTATTATGACACTCATCGTCTCGAGCAATCCGTTGAATGTTATGAGAAAGCCCTTGATATTTATACTCAATTGAATTGTTACAATAGTTTACAAGTTATTGCTACTCATTATAATCTTGGTTTGGTTTATTTGACATTAGGAGAAACTCGAAATGCAGAAGACCAACAGATACAAGCCGAAGAGAAGTTTTTCAATTCCTCACAACCAAAAGATTCATTAGTCATAACTGCAATAAAAGGTCTTAAAGCTAAAATTCAAGCAGAATATGGTAATGATGCAAATGCTTTGAAAATTCTTGAATTAGTTTTAAAGGATAAAATGCAGAGACTACCAGCAACTCATCCTTCAATAGCATCAACATCGAATACAATAGGTATTGTGTATGAAAAAATGGACAATAATGTAAAAGCACTTGAATATTTTAGAAAAGCATTAGAAATTGGGAAGAAAGGTTTAACAATCAATCATAAGGATTTAGCTGAGTATCATACAAATATTGCTCGTATTTATGACAAACAGAAACAATTTCAACTTGCTTTACAACAATATGAATTATCATTAGAAATTATGGAGAATTACCGAGATGAAGAATATGAGAAGATTTCTATATTAAATACAAATATCATCGAGATGAAAAACAAATTACATTTGTCTCAAATTTACGGATGAAAATTTTTTGTCTCATTTATTTTAATAAGTTTAGAATAAAATTCAATAAGTGAAACAAATAAACAAAAATAGATTTCATACTTCCTACATATTTGAAATTACTAATACACTTCTGAATAGTCAATCATCGTCATAATTCATTCAATAGAAAAGAAGTTTGTCTGTCTAAAAAGAACTTTATTAGATGAAGTAATACGAAAAAAACCAATATGTATTCTATTCGTTTAGTACTAAAATGATGTTTAGTTGCAAAGCGTTGAACAATTTACCTATTAAGCTTTTCTTTATAAATTACAATCGATAGTGCTTAGATGATTTTTTTTTCGAATGAAATCTAACCAAAACATATACCAGTGTAATCGGCAGCTGTAAGATGAAAGATGTTAT